CCCAGACTCAAAGACAGCAAAGCCAAACACAGCAGGGGGCTGGGGGCCTCCCTCCTAACCACTTAACCTGTTTTCGGAAATCAAGGGAGAGGGGCTGCCATGCCCAGAAGGTTTTTGAAAAATCATAAAATCCCCAATTACACTTTACCTTTTAGATAAAATAGCTGAGGCTCTTCCGGGATTGCGTGTGCGCTCTTTACTTTCCTTCTCCTTTACTGCTGGGTGGGGTTAGGCCAGCAGGCGTCCGGCTGAGGCTCAGACATCGCTGCCTTTGGCACATCTAGTGGTTTCCATCTTGGTTGCAGCTAGAGGGCATTTATGAGAATCCTGCTCATTACTAACTTTGCTCTTTTTAATCTTCCACTCGTGTTTATAAAAGCTGGAAAAGCCAATATATTAGGAAATAGTGCACCAGCAAAGGTCAGCGTGGAAGCAATGCAGAGCCATTTTGTCCCTGTCACGCTCACAGCCCTCTCGGCCGGCGGGACTGCCGCTCCGCAGGTGTAGACTCTTCTCACGTGCCCACTTCGGGCCTGGGAGGGCCGTGTGGATGCTCAGTGTGGGACGAACGTAGGAAAAGTTGGCTTTCTGGAAGTGGGAACCACCTCTGTGCGCAGACCTGTCACCCTTCTCTCAAAGTCTCTAAATTAGGGACAGAAGCATCCGAGGGGACAAGGGAATGATTATCCATTGTTCAGGCCCTAGAGCCGGCCATCCTGCGCCTGTGTACTTGAGGGACAGAGCTGCCATAAAATGTTATGAACAGCCCCGTTCACAGAATGAATGAGTTCTGGCAAGTTGACAGGGGAGTTTTTGTAAATCACACGTTTGCCCAGAGAACTTTAATGTGTCAAGGATTCCTGCAAATGATCTGGTTTCCAGAGAACCATATATGATGTCTTCAATAAGTTGGTGTTACTGGGAGTAAATGGGGTTTTCTTAAAATGAACATCTGCAGTGATAAATCTCACGCTCCGAAGACAGGACAGTATTGCCGAGGTACAGTTATTCAGGATCGTCAGAGGAAATTTGCTTTCATGGGAATTTCATTAGAAAAATGCCATCTTGTTAAAGAATTTGCGAGTAAATGAATTTGCATTTGGTTTGAGTCCGAGAAAGTGCCATATGTTTACATTGAGTTTTAGGGTCTCTTTTTGCCTTTGTCTCTGGACTCCATTGGCCAGAAGACAGGCCGCTCTCCTTTGCCAGGGCGTCCACTGCTCCTGCCCTCCTCCCCTCACCGCTTCTCTCTGGCCAGACGGAGTCCACTGACCCATGTCGGAGCCAGGGTCGACTCGGAGGTCAGCCTTTCCAGCAGCGTCGTTGGCATTTCTGAGCAGTCCTGCCTGACTTTGTTTGAAGCCTGTAGTTGACTGGTTGACCATTCTTCAGTCTCGATTGTCTCGGAAGACGGTGTCCTTCCCTCGAAGGCTGCTAGAGCTTAGGTACCCTCTAGCCTCAGGGGTTTTGAGTGATGAGGCCAAAACTCTTCGCCCTGAGTAGAAAAAGGGACATGTGGGTCCTGCTGGTCTGCGTCACTAGAAGATGTGAGCCCCTCATTAGGACTGTGTGTGCAGAACGTGGGCCGTGTCAGGCCTGAGCGGGTTCAGTGGACGTGGCCTTCCAGCCTGTGCTCACTGGTGCTTTCTCCTCAGAAGTCCCTCACAAAGACACAGGGGCCTGGCTGGAGAGGAACAGACTGGAGTCCAGCCCCGTCGCCAGGCCTGTGGGGGGCGCTCTCGTCTCCTCAGCTGCTCCGGCTTCAGGCTTCTCTGGCGCCTCCGTGAAGCATGCGGCCCTATTTTTAGGCTGGGCTACGCTTTCTGATGTGCTGCTGTGGCAAAGATTCAGTAGCAGCTGCACCACACGTCCTGACTTAAGGCCCTGTTTACAACAGGGATGGGGCTTGTTTACCAGACATGAGATAACGGAATGCGAGTGAGCTGCTTCAGACCTCCTCCAGCGCCAGGGCCCCAAGTTTGCTCCTTCCCAGGGCGTCCTGTGTATCTGCCCGCCATGACCCTGCCTCAGGCATGCGTGTGGATTCCTTTGTTCCTCCTGTCCTAGCCAGAGGGGGGCAAAGAGGAGACCCCTGCCTGGAGGAGAGTTGCAGAGGGGCAGCAGGTCCAGGGGGTGGCTCGCCGTCCGGATCTCCCACCTCGCCAGCCACTCCCTGGTCATGTTCCGATCCATCCAGAAAGCGCACATAAACGTGCGCCAAGGCTCCTGTTCTTCAGGAGTTAGCACTGACGCCCCGGCAGGAAGGGACTGTGCGGGACGTGCAGGGGACTGCCAGGACCAGGATGTGCTGGTTTAGATTGTGTGATATAGACAGGATCCCCTTCACCACTGGTTTTCAAACCCAATGCATTGGTGTCTAAAACTGATTTAAATACTGTTCTGTTTATGATATTTATTTATAATTTACTTACATGTTTCAATGTATGATGAGTGGCTGTGAGCCTCTTTGTGTAACACACATAGGAAAGGCACCAGCCTTCAAGACCCCGCAGTACCTTCCCCCTCTCCATCCTGAGAAAGTCAGCAGTACAGAGGACAACTGTCGTTAAACGTGGCTCTTTTTTGTAGTTGTCAGAAATGCTCTGGCTAATGACAGGAGAGCATTATTGAGATTGCCCCATGACAGGCTAATCTGGGGACGCATCCCCTGCCTGGGGGACTTGGGCCGGGAGCGAGGTGAGTGCTCACTCCCTTTTGGAAGGAGAGAGAGGGCTTGCTCTCCCCACCGGCTTCCTCAGCCTGACCTTCACATTCTCAGGGCCCCGGGGGTAGGACAGCCTGGCACATCTGCTCATGAGTCCCACCACCTTCCTCACTTTGCTGGCGCATTAGGTCCCTGGGACGGCGCGGAGCTCAGATATCTGCCTGGCAGACATGGCACCTCTGCGTGAAGAGGCGAAGTTGCTGGCCCGCTGCACCTGTGTCCCTGGAGACGGCCTGAGGGGACGTCTTTGTTTCTCACAGGAACTGCTCTTTGTCATGGGGAGATTAGGTCCAGACGTCAGGTTTCCATCCCTGGGTGTGTGTGGCTCCTGGGCCCTGAGCTGTGGCCAGGCTGACTGGGGCTGGATTAGGTACAGCCGTCTGTCCTCAGAGGGGTCTGAGGAGGACAGGGACAGAGATGTGCGTGTGGAAGGAAGGACCTGTGAGCACATTGTTCCCCTGGGCTTCACTCCTGTGGGTGCCTAGGAGAGCAGGGCACAGACCCTGGGTGGGCGGCTGAGCCAGGCCGCCCTGTGAGAGGAGGAGCACAGCCGGGGTGGGGCTCTGTTGCTGCGCTGTAGGCCCCCTCACCCCGGGGTTCTGTGGTGTGGTGTTTCCTTGAACTGCTGATGTGCTGGTGAGACTGGCCCATGCGTGGCCTTCAGCTGCATATCGTTTGTCATTGCTGTGTGGCCTTCCCCTGGTGGACAGGACCATCGTTTGTTGATACATCCCACTCCTGATGGCCACGCGGTTGCTTCCGGTTTGGGGCTGCTGTGAGGACATCCCTCAGTGCGCGACAGGGCACCCCAGGCATGCGTCTCCCGGCGGGGCTGCTGTGGGATGGACTAGGTAGGTCTTCGGCCAGCGGTCTGAGAGCATGTCCCGTTCCTCAGTTAGCTGGATGGCTCACGAGGCTGGGTACTGCTCATGAGCTCATTGGCATTTGGACCTTACCTTTTGTGAACGGCCTTGTCCTGTGTTTTCCTGATTTTCATCCTGATATGTCTTACTGATTTGTAGGAACACTCCATCTATTCTGGAAGCTGGAAATGTGTCAATGTGAGGCTGTATTTAAAAACAAAGTTGTCACAGGCCGGCAGCAGGAAGAGAGCCTCTCCTGTAGGTGCTCCCTCCTGTGGCCTCACTGTCCCACCACAGCCCCTTCCTGTCCTTTACTCACTGATGCTTGTCCTCCTGGCTTGGGATTGTCCTCCAAATCGACCACTGTCCTCTCCTCTAGATGATGATTCATGAGACATAGCAGTGGACCCTCTTCAATGAAACCCCTCTTTTTACCACACCCTATCAGGAATCATGACCTGGGGGGTCATGGGGCACAGTCACTCATGTGGGGGTCCTGAGAACCTTTTCGATGTTTTCTCTTTCCTTCCATACTGTTCTTGTTTTATCCTTGGCTGACCTCCCCAGAACATGCATGCTGCCAGCGGGCCACTCACTCAGAATCTCCCTGGGCCGGTCACCTGAGCACTCAAGAAAACCTACAATCCGACCCTCTTCTCTTGCTTTCTTGACAGTCTTAATCCAGAATCTTGACTAGTTACAGAGCTTTTCAACTCCATAAAGACAAGGATGATTTGATATGCCCTTGGCTCCCTCAGTAATTACTAGTTCTTGTTGATTGAAATGTATGCCTCTAAGGGAAGAGGCTGGACTGGGTAATATACTGATCTGTGTGTGTGTGTTGCACTATTTTCTGGTTCTCTCTTGCTATGGGGAGAAAACAAACAAAAACCCTAAAAAACAAAGTAAAACAGTAAAACAAAAGCATAGTGGCTCTTGAATCCACAGTGTGGCCTGGGCTTGGCAGGGAAGGTTCCCCTCTGCTCACCTGCTTTACCTGGTGGAGCTAGACTCTGGGGATCCATTGCCAGGACGGCGCTCACACACGCTGGCCGGGTCGTTGCTCGCTGCCTGCTCAGAGCTCACCCGGGACTGTCAGGCACACACAGGCCCAGGTTCCTCTTCCTGCGAGTGACACTGCAGGGCGCTCGGGCTTCCTCCCACCATGGCAGCTGGGTTCCAAGAATGAGTGTTTGGAGGAGAAGTGGACGTTGCCCGTCTCAGGACGTGGCTCAGACGCTGGCATGCTGTCGTTTCTTCTGTGTTCTGTTGTCACAGAGCCCAGCCAGGTTCTGAGGCGTGGGGGAGGATGCACAGCCATCTTTCTGTCGGTGGGAGGATGACGGGAGAACTTGGGGCTGCTTCGACCACCGCACACTAACAGACTCCCCTCTCCTGTGACCTTCCTCTAGCCCTGACTGCCGCTGCTGGAAGAGGCAAGCTGGAGGTGTGCGAGCTGCTGCTGGAGCACGGAGCTGCTGTGTCCCGGACCAACAGGAGAGGGGTCCCACCTCTGTTCTGTGCGGCACGCCAGGGACACTGGCAGGTACCTGGTGGGCCTGTGAAGGCTGCAGAAGCAGCGGGTGGGATAGAGTTCACTGTGGCCCGTCTCCCCTGAGCCCTGTGTTTTTCATGTACTTGGCTTCTGCTTGTGCTGTCAGGTCTCGATAACCATAAACGTTTGACAAGCAAACACAGTCCGCCATTGTAGGCTGGTAACCAGGAGCTAGGCCAGGGCCGGGGGAGACCCGCAGCTGCTTCCTTTCATCCTGCAAGGGGGGAGAGTGGAATGGGTGCACCCTGTCACCATGACAGAGGACTAGCCATGACAGCTGTTGTCCTGGTGGTGTGACCTACTCATCTGGTATACTTGGAAGAAGAGTGGTTCTCTTGTGCTCTTTAGAAAAGGAAGCATTTTCTCTCTGGTCTAGCACTGTGATTCAGGCTGGTTTCACCTCGTCTCTTCTCTTTCTTTTTTCAAGATTTCCTTATTTATTACAAAGAGAGAGAGAACACAAGCATGAGGGGCAGGGAGAGGGAGAGAATCTCAAGCAGACTTCCTGCGGAGCACAGAGCCTGATGTGGGGCTGGAAGCCCCATGAGCTGGATCCCCATGAGCTCATGACCTAAGCGGAAACCTGGAGTTGGGTGCTTAACCAACTGCACCACCCAGATGCCCCATCAGGCTGGTTTCTTTGACTAGGAGTGACTTGTTGCCTTAATTCAGAGGACCAGGGATCATTGAGAACAGCATTTCGGTCATTTATTCATTTTGTAAGCAGCGGCCATGGACCTACTCCATGCCTGGCATCAGGTTCCACACAAGCTGCAAGCAAATGGATCCTACCATGTCCATTATAGGAAGAATTTTCTAGATCCAATTTTGCATCATGGAATCATGTCACTCCTTGTTCGTCCCATTGTTAGGAGCTGCACGTGCTCCCCATCAAGATTTTGGCTTTTCAGTTCCATTTCCAAGAGCTTGGTCTGTACCATCTTCTCCCTATCATCCTCACAACTTCTCTGTGCTGCCCTAGCTCATCCTGTCTCTGGGTCTCAGACTTCCTAAATCATGGGGAAGTTTAGAAAGCACAGGTCAGTGTTTGAGGAACAGGAAAGCATGGGGAATATGCTGCCTTTTGTTGCTGTCCCCGTGTAACAGATACTGTGCCAGAGGGAGGGGGACTCCAGCCCACCCCCTCCGTAAAGCCCCTCCCACTGGGATGGTAGTTGCATGAGAAGCCTCTGGTTTTTTGTTTTTGTTCCCCAGCCTTATCACCATGCACTGATTGAAGGCACAGTTCTGAGGCTGGGAAAATCTTCAGGAAGCTTTGCTAAAAATTGCCTGCTGTGAAGGTCAAGCCATCCACTAAGCCCCTGAGGCTTAGAAAAGCAAGTTGCTTGGGGGTATGGTAGGTGACCGCTTTCCTGAGAGCCTGTGTCTCCTACCAGAGTGTAGCTGGTAGGAATGACCTTCACCCTCTCCTTCAGTTCTCCAGTCTCCCATATGCCTTGTTGTGGCTATCTGGTCATTGCTTGATTGCGATCGGTATCTCCCCTTCTCCCTGTTACTGTTTATGCCTTGTATGTACGTGTTCTATATGTACAGTAATGAATTGGACATGTCAAAAAAGGAGTATATATTTGCAAGAAGATTCTGTTCAAAGGAATACAATGGAAAGATTGCCCAGGCCCTACAAATCACACAGCTTTGAGAGGCATTTGAAGAAGAGAATCCTTTGCTACTTTTAAGTGTAGAAAAATCTGCCTGGGTAGAGAGCATGGAGCAGGGCAATTATAATTCCAAGTGTTTCTTTCAGATTGTTAGACTGCTTTTGGACCACGGCTGTGATGTAAGCCTAAGTGACAAGCAGGGCCGGACTCCCCTCATGGTGGCAGCTTGTGAAGGACACTTGAGCACCGTGGAATTTCTCCTTTCAAAAGGTAGCAGCGCGGGGGCCCCTGCCGAGGTTTCTTCCAGAAGGACAAAACAAAGAGCTTTGGCAGACCCACTGACCGTACCTTCTGATTCAAGTTTGCAAAGTCTTTTTGTTACGGACGTTTTTTATCTGCACATAAGTAGAAAGAGTGGGCAGTGAATGTCGTACCCATTTCTCAGCTTCCACAGCGGTGTTCATTTCTCCGGCTTCAGATTTCAGAGGCCTGATTGCCGCCCGTCAGTGCGGGTGTTTGCAGGTGGGAGTCTGTTTGCTTCTGGGCTTTGTGTCACAAATTCATGTTCTGTGAATGCGCTGTTCCTGCAGGTGCCGCACTTTCTTCTCTGGACAAAGAGGGGCTGTCGGCCTTAAGCTGGGCTTGTCTGAAAGGTCACAGAGCAGTGGTCCAGTTCCTGGTTGAGGAAGGAGCCAAGATAGACCAGACGGACAAGAACGGCCGCACTCCCTTGGACCTGGCCGCCTTCTACGGCGACGCAGAGACGGTAGGTACCGGCAGGTGGTCCCGCTGTCCAGCCGCACACAGAAACCATTCTCGGAGTCGAACCGTTCCCTGAATGTGTGTGAGGCCGTGTCTGCATGTGGTCAGCGTGTGCGGGTGTGCTGTGGGTTTGCTTTCATTTTTCTCTTATTCTGTGACATGCAGTCTGTTCCAGAACGTTAATAAAGATTTTAATAGACTCTTAAAATCTTCAAAATACTCAATTACACACCGCATCTCCAGCAGACACACAATTAAATATGTATACACACGTGTGTAAGTAGTTTTATTTTCTTTCGTAACCCATATAAATAGAATTCCTGTACAGAGCATTTCAAAATCGCTTTTTTATTTATATGAGAAATTACTAATTACATGGTTATCTGGTTTGTTTTTAAATGGATGTGCCTTTGTCTAGAAATAATAGTAAATGCTTAGGGCACTATCTTTATCTCTTTGCCAGGTGTCCAAGTCTAACGGAGATAAGAAAGGACAAAATGTTAATAAGCTAAGAACTGCAAAATGTCTCTCAGGGCAGAAAACCATGTCTTTGTCAGGTTCCACTTCCCAGTCACTGAGCAGGTGTTAAAGGAATGTTCGGCTCCTTGAGAGTTACCACTTCTGAAGCATTAAGTATGTCTCATGTTCTCATGTGCACATTAGCCAGAGAGATCCTGGGTTGCTGGAAGCAGTGGAGCTTGGAGCAGAAGCTGTCCTCACCCTGCATGTCTGTGCCTTAATGCTTTTAGGAGGCAGTGATGTTGGCGTTCAATGGTCTCAAATTCCTGGACAGTGTAAATTGTACTTAATGTCGATTTTCAAAAACAGTTGTGTAACTAAATCTCCCACATCCACACTTTTATGTTTCAGCTTTTATCACCTTACCAAATCCTAGTTTATCAGTATTAGGGAAGCGTGAAGCACTTAGCATTCTAGTGTAATTTTTTTTTCCATTGTGATTAAAAAAACGCACAACATAAAATTTACCATCTTAAGCCATTTCTTTTTTTTTTTAAAGATTTTATTTATTTATTTGACAGATCACAAGCAGGCAGAGAGTGAGAGGGAGGAAGCAGGCTCCCTGCTGAGCAGATAGACTGATGCGGGGCTCGATCCCAGGACCCTGGGATCATGACCTGAGCCGAAGGCAGAGGCTTTAACCCGCTGAGCCACCCAGGCGCCCCCATCTTAAGCCATTTCTAAGCAAAGAGTTCAGTAGTGTACGTACCCTTCACATTCCTGTGCAGCCAACATCCACACTTTTCCCCGTAACCCTGAAACACTGTACCACCTCAGCAAGGCGTTGGTTCTCTCCTCCTGCAGCCGCGGGCAGCCACCGTTCTGCTTTGTTTCCGTGAATGGGCTCTTGTCCTACCTCATCTATGTGGAGTCCTAGAGTAGTTGTCCCTCAGTGACCGGCTGCCTTCACAAAGCATCATATCTTCAAGGTTCATCCATGTTGCAGCCTGTAACAGGATTTCCTTCCTTTTTAAGGCTGACTAGCATCCCGTCATGTGGCTCTGTCACATTGTATTAATCAATTCATCTGTCCATAAATGCTTGTATTGCTTCCAGCTCTTGGCTGTTATGAATAGTGTGTGTACTTGTGAACATGGGCTTGCAGATACCTCCTCCAGATCCTGTAAATTCTTCCAGATCTAACTGTATTCTTTGGGATATATACCCGGAAGTAGGATGGCTTGATCCGGTGATAGTCCTGTTTTTAATTTTTTGAGGAAATTTCATACTGTGTCTAGAGGGATCACACCAGTTTACATTCCCACCAGCGCACAAGTGTTCCTGTTACTTCACATCCTCTCCAACACTTACAATTTTGTTTTCTTTCTTTTTGTTAGCAGCCATCCTAATGGTGTGAGGTGATAATATTGTGGTTTTCATCTGCGTTTCCCTAATGATCAATGATGTTGAGTATCTTCTCATATGCTTGGTGGCCATTTGTATCTCATCTTTAGAGAAATGTCTAGTCATGTCCTTTGTCCTTTTTAAAAAATTGGGTTATTTGGTTTTTTTGTTGAGGTGTAGAAGCTCTTTATATATTATGGAAATTAATCCAGTGTCATTTTGAGCAGCTGGTGGACTATCAGATTCATATGACAAGTTAAGTTGGCTACAGACTTCTTTTCTACTGACTAGAACAATTTGAGAAGCCAGAATGGTTTTTACCTCTGTGATCTATGTCCAGGTGACTGCTGTCATACCAATCCAATCCATCTATGTAGCATGGTCTCAAAACTTGCTCCTTTACATTCCCGGTATTTGAGTCTTTTTCCTAAGCCTTAAAGTGAGCTGTAATTGAGTTTATCCGATCTCGAGCTTCTCCATCTTGCGGTCTGCAGGCAGTGTGGATCGCATGTTTCTGAGATACCACTGCCGTGGGCTACCAGCCCATAGGCACTTTGCTGACGTCTGCCTCCTAAGTAACTAGAGATGAAAGGAGGATTGTGGCCATCTCGGTGGCTGGAAGTGGACGTGTGTGTACTCCTCTGTGGAGTGCGGGTGCATGTACATAGCGTGTCCCTCCTTAGGAGTGTTCACCCGCCTTCCTCCTTGCCAACGGCAGACTGGATTGTAGCTCCTGTTTCCTGTCTGCTTCGTTTCCATTAGGGTCCTTAATGGGCAGAGGTAGGGAAGTCACAGTAAAGCTCAGACTGCCAGCCCCTCCCCAAGAGGCAGAGGTGGGTGGGTGCGGCCCTCTTGCCACCAGCAAGTGGCACCGGCCACCACTCAGGGCTCTGTCTTTCCCACTGCAGGTGCTGTATCTGGTCGAGAAGGGAGCTGTGATCGAGCACGTGGACCACAGCGGCATGCGCCCCCTGGACAGAGCCATTGGTTGTCGAAACACATCCGTAGTGGTCACACTGCTGAGAAAAGGAGCCAAATTAGGTCAGTAAACCCCTCGTTTCAGCAGCAGGAGAGGGAGGTGTGCTCCGGATCCTAGCGTATGTCAGGGACCATAAAGACTTAACCTGCTTCTAGATTAAGAAGTAAGATGTCAGGTGCTTAGAGACTTTCTTTTTTCTTCCTTTGCTATCAGGTTCACAGTTATCCAAAATGTTTAAATAGCTTATCACATCGCCACTGTAGTGTGGGCTGAGAGCAGCAGCCAGTGTTGAAGAGCGGTCTAGAGTTGAGGGTGTTAGGGATGTCCAGGAGCTGTGGTGGGGAGCGGTTCCATTCGTCTCTGGGAGGGGGATGCCGGGAATCCTGGTTAGGAAAGCTCACAGGTGCCTCTGCTGAGCCTCTGAGTTTGAGAACCGCTGTCTCGAGTCATCCTAGTCCGTCGGGTAGGGCCGGGGCAGCCCCAACAGTTTCTGTGAAGGAAAAGTCACAGAATTTACTGGGAACAGGATGGAGGGGGTCCCTTGAGGACACTAATGGGGCAGAGGGGTCTCTGTAGGGAGAGCCCCTTCTGTGTGGTTGCCCGGAACGTGACCCACCACCCAGAATGTGTGGGTACGGGGCCACCAGAGCAGGGCTCTTGTAGTTTAGTGTGCCAGATTTGCCCAGCGGTGGTCGTGACGAGGGGACTCTGGCGAAGAGGAGAAGGTCAGCGGATATTACTAAGCAGTTCACTGTCTTGGGAATTATTCTGAGCTGTTTCCGGTTTCAGCTTCTTTCATCCTCACCTGCTCTCTCAGTAGTTAGGGATAACCCCCTCATGTTACAGAGGAGGAAACCGAGGCACAGCAGGGGCAGATAGCTTCCCTGAGGCTGTAGTGCCCGGCAGAGCCCGTGTTTGAAGCCGAGTGCTGTGGCTCCTGACCTGGCTCCTCCGTAAGCCACATCACCCGCCCGTGCTCAGGAGCAGGGCTGCGCGCGAGCGGGGCTGTGGGCCGCAGAGGCGTGACCCTGGCCAGAGCCGGCCTGCGGGGCGGCCACAGTGCGCAGGCTGCTGAGAGCACACGCCTGCACTCGCCAGCCAGCGTGGGCCCTGCGGGAAGCGGAGGAGATTATTCAGAAGCCATGTTTAATTGATCCTCCCCAAATTCCCCACGGGAACAGGGTCGGGGAGATGGGCACAGCTGCTCTGATGCCCCCGTTTCCCAGCACTCCATTTTCATCAGGGTAACAGCCCCCCTCCCGGGTGCTTCCTTCAGTGTGAGGCAGATCCGAAGGGAGACCCACTCCCCGGGGCCAGCCCGTGTCCCCTTCATTTTACCATTGCCTGGAGGCTGCGGACACACCGTGCTGCTGTCCGTGACCTTCACTGTGGTGCTGCCTCAGAAGCCGTGATATCCTTTCCTCCCAGAGCACTGACATGTGTCTAAATGCGTCTTCGTTTTGCAGGAAATGCTGCCTGGGCAATGGCTACTTCCAAGCCTGATATTTTGATTATACTTTTACAGAAATTGATGGAGGAAGGAAACATGATGTACAAAGTAAGTGGTACTGGCATTTCTAGGATGTGATCTCTTAGCCTGCACACCACACTGGTTTAAGAGCCACAGCCCGGCTTCAGGAGCCACTTGTGAGGCCGGGGGCCCAGGCTTCTGTGCCTTAACAGCAGGACCTTCCAGGGAGAAGGCCCCTCTCTGTGTGAGAACCGTTTCCTTGGAAGGAGTCCTTTTGGCTGTGACTCAGAGCCTGAAGCCTTGGCGTGAAGGCACAGTGGCTCCCAGCAGGAGGTCCCTTAGCACACCGCATGGGGACACACGTGAGAAAGGGACACTCAGGAGAAAGCTTCAGAAAAAAAGGATCATTAAATCTCCTAAGACTCTATTACTTTAGTTTTAATATCCATAAGTTTCTGCCATTTGAAATGGTTTCTAGAGATGTTTTCACTTACGATAGTCAGGGAGCATATAATACTCTGTTACTCAGGAGACTGACTTAATTTTTCCCCCATTTTCCCTTGGAAATGGAAATATAAAGACTTATAATTTAATAGTAAAAATTTCAAATAAAATTTAAAGTAAAATTTCCCAAATAAGACATCAGCTTAGATAGGAGGCCAGCAGACTTTTCCTGTAAAGGGCCAGATAGTAACTGTGTTGGGCTCTGCTGTGTGGCCTCTGTCACTGCTCTCCAGTTTCACTGGTGTGGCAGGAAAGCAGCCACAGGTGACACATGAGCAAATGGGCGCGGCCATGGCCCAGTCAGTCTGTGTTTGTAAATGTGGGTGGCAGGCCAGATTTGGCCTGGGAGCTGTAGCTGGCCTATCCTTGGCTTAGATAGATGCTGTAGGCCATTTACGTGGAGCAATGCTCTTTCCAGGTCTGTGATTAGACAAAATTAAATGTTTTGAAAACAAACAAAAAACGGTATTATGAGCATTTTAATCCTTTTATCATGAGGCTGCTGCACAGGCTACGTTTAGTTTTTCCCTTTTCTTTTTTTTAATAATAACAAATAAGTAGGCTTCTAGCACAACCCAGCAGGGTTCCTGCCTTGGAATCCTTTTGAAATTGAGTTCAGAGTGTGTGTTGTTGTGGCTTTGAAGTGGTTTTAATATGAATTTTGGTAGGCAATTATGTTAGAACTATCAAGCCATTTTCAACAGACTTCATACCTGCTGCGCTGTGGAACTGACTGAGCAAATGGATTTCTTTAGCCTTGAAAATGACGTGCGGCGCTGTTCGATTTTTAAAGCCCGTAGTTTAGTTCCTCTTCAAAGAAAAATTATGATTCTGCAGCAAGCTCTGGACTTCTCCACAAGACTGTACTTGCCTTGAGAACTGCATCATTTCTTCATCTGATTTCTATTACACTTAGCATCAAAACGTCTCTAGACGAAGATAATTTCTGAGATGGTTTTCGAAAATGTATAACGGAGGGGCACCTGGGTGGCTCAGTCCAGGAAGCCTCCGATTCCTGATTTTGGCTCAGGTCATGATCTTTGGGGACATGAAATCCAGCCCGGCTGAGCTGGGTGTGGAGCCTGCTTAAGATTCTCTTGCCGTCCCCTGGCCCCCACGTGTGTGTCCTCTCTCTCTCTCTCTGAAAATAATAATAAAAATATATATAACAGGATAATCTGATCTATTAAGATTGATAGTTCTCAATTTGGCAATGTACAGGCTGCTTCGTAGAAAACCAGCTTGTGTCTTCCGGCACGAGGCCGGAAGCTGCCGGAGCCTGTGTGGACAGTGAGGCCGGTTCGTGGCAGCCGGGTCGTAGCACCCTCAGCAGGACCCTCCCATGGTTTCCGTGATGGGGGGAGAGCCTTGCCAGGGTCTTCAGGTTGTGGGAGCCTATTCGTCTTGGAGCATCTGAAAAAGGATCAATTTCTGTGCTTTTTGATTCCTAGAAAGGGAAGATGAAAGAGGCAGCCCAGAGGTACCAGTATGCCTTAAGGAAGTTTCCCCGGGAAGGATTTGGAGAGGATATGAGGCCATTCAATGAATTAAGAGTTTCTCTCTATCTCAATTTGTCTCGCTGCCGGAGAAAAACAAATGTAAGCTGTGGGCCCTTAGTCTGTTCTTTTAGTAGTAGAAGAGTTGGTTCGCGGTGAGGGCCAACCCCGAATAAGGCCAAGGCATGGGTGTCCTGTGGGATTTGTTCGCACATCTCTGTGAACTTGGCGTGTGGGGAGCTGCTTCTCTTGGGTGGTCATCATGTGAGCTCTGTCACGGCCCTCCTCTCACGGGCCGAGAGAATGCACCGGAGGGCACGGTCCTCTGCCTCAGCAGTGAGAGGCCACCAGACTACCGCCCCGCCCATTCCCGGCCGGGTACGGCCAACATGGTCACGGGCGACGTTCTCCCGACGCAGAAGGGAAGGATCTGTCTAGTGGTTATTGCATTTGCCCAGAGACTATACCAGTAACTGGTTAACTTGTAATTAGTAGTAGTTACTTCATAGTTAAATTGTAACTAGTAACTAGTGGACTTGTTTCAGTACTTCTTTCTCCTACTTTTTTTTTTTTTTTTTAACTTCCTTTTCTTACCACCAAATCCGTTGATCTGCCTGTTTCTGTGTCCGTGTTTCCGGTGCCTCGCTGTGCCAGTGGGGGCGTCTCTGCCTCTCTCTGAGTCTGCCGCTGGGTGTGCAGCTCCCGTCCACTCTCACCTGCCAGTGCACGGCTTCTACCGCTATTTTCTCCATCTTGTATCATTAATTTTTGTTTCTCTACTGAATGCTTCTCTTAAGATACTAATAAGCTTTAATTATCTCCCTACTTTAAAACAAGAGAAATAAAACTTCCCTTGGCCTTTACCTTCCCAGCTATTCCAATTCTCTGCTAACCTGTAGAACAAGACTCCTATTAAAAAGCTGCCCGTAATCCTGTCTCAGGGCTTCCTCTGACTCCTGTATTTAAATGTTGACACTAGGACTTTGGCATGGCAGAAGAATTTGCTTCCAAGGCTCTCGAATTGAAACCAAAGTCCTACGAAGCCTTTTATGCCAGGGCAAGAGCGAAGAGAAATAGCAGGTACTGTCCGGGGTGCGATCTGCGACTAGAGACGCCTTCTCGGGGCTTTCTGGTACCGACGCTGCTGGTTGACTTGCGGGGGTGTCATTCACAGGCATTACTCAAATGCCTCTCATCCCTTTTGATACTAAATTGGTAGCTTCCAAGGGGCGCCACAGTGGGTATTAGCAACGGGTAGACGTGTGTCTTCTCCTGACATCCCAGTAACTGTTCCTCCCCTGCACCCCAGCTGACACTCACTGCCACACAGAATCCTTAGATTAGTCTGTGTCGTAGGGAAGCTGCTGGCGAGAGACACGAGAGCAGGTAGGTGGGGGAAGGGAGGAGAGGCCTGTAGGAGTTTTAGGTTAGAGATGGACAGCGTGAGAGGCTGTGGTGAAGAAAGATTCCGACCCCCACTGGTTTATGCCTGTTCCCGCTCCCGGCCCAGTGGTGTTTACGGAGACAGCGGGCCCCTGGCAAGGCGCAGGTGTGGGTCAGAATTCGCTCCCACGTGGCTGAGTAGCTCTAAGCTAGAGCAGAACGGCTCCTGTCCACCATGGTCAGTGTTCCAGACTCTCGTTCTTGTTAGCAGAGCTCTGTTACGAACAGTGACCTTCAGAGCATGTTCCTGCACGGCTTGTAACTCCGTCTTCTGTTTTGCCATAAAGGCAGTTTGCGGCGGCCCTGGCTGACCTACGGGAAGCTGTGAAACTGTGTCCCACCAATCAGGAAATCAAGAGGCTCCTGGCCCGTGTGGAGGAGGAATACAAGCAAGTCCAGAGGAGCCAACAGCACAAACAGCAGTGCCCACCACCGGCGCCACCCAACGACTCGGATAACGAAGAGGACACCCCGACCCCTGGCTTGAACGACCACTTCCATCTCGAGGAGGCCGAAGAAGAAGAAACTTCGTCCCAGGAAGAGTCCGTTCCCCCGACGCCCAGGCCTCAGCCATCCTCGTGTGTCCCCTCCCCGTACATCCGAAACCTTCAGGAAGGCTTGCAGTCCAGAGTCAGGCCGGTGTCCCCGCAGAACAGGCCGGGAGTCGGGAAGGCGCCGAGGGAGGCCGTGGCTCCGCCGGGGCTGGTGATGCAGCCCACGCGGCAGGCGCAGATAGTGAAGACCAGCCAGCGTCCGGGGCCCGGGCAGGCGGGCGTGCGAAGCGGCAGCACCAAAATGCAGGTCTCCGCTCAGACTCCTTCCCCGAGCCCTCTGCCGGGTGGGGTGGCGGCCGCTCCTGCCGGTGGCAGAAACCAGCGTCTGGAGGGCACAGGTACTTTGACCGCGGGAGCCGGTTCCGGCCATTTCGGAGAGCGGCTGGGCCCCAGCCACGGCGTCCAGCTGCCGCTCGGCGAGGCGGGTGCCGTCTATCCTTTACCCAGCAAGATAAAAACTGCCGAGAGGCTTCTGTCTCACGCCCCCATTGCTGTGGATGTGGCTCCTTTAAACCAGGGCGGGCTGGCGAGCCGCAGCGACGTGCGACATCCCGCTTCCCTCAGCTCCGGCTCTTCCGGCTCTCCGTCCGGCAGCATAAAGATGTCAAGCTCAACCAGCAGTCTGACGTCAAGCAGCAGTGTCTCAGACGGCTTCAAGGGCCAAGGACCGGACGTTCGCATTAAAGACAAGGCTGTTAACCCGGTGCAGAGCGGCACAGCGGAGCACAGGCCGCGCAACACTCCGTTCATGGGCATCATGGATAAGACTGCAAGGTTCCAGCAGCAGAGCAATCCTCCCGGCCGCACCTGGCACTGTCCGCGGCCCGAGGGGCTCCTGACGAACGCGACGTCCGCGGCCGGCCTGCAGCCCTTGAACTCGGAGAAGCCCTCTCTCAAACAAGCGGGAGGATACGCTAGCCAAGCCAAAGCCTGTTCTGTTTCTACCCTGGGTGGCAGTGTCCACAATGGGGCACAGGGGAAGGAGCTAGAAGAGAAGAAATGCCAAACGGCAGTCCACTGCCAAGATAACAGGATCGCTAAGACGGTGTCTCATCTGTATCAGGAGAGTAGCTCTAAACAGCAGCTTCACGGCAGTAACGAAGCCCACAGGAGTCACCTCCCTTCAGCCAAACCAAAACGGTCATTCATAGAGTCAAACGTGTGAGCCTTAAGAGAGAACCACATGTGGGATTGGGAAAACAGTGTGCTAGCTCCTGGTGGTGATTAAAAGGTTTTTCATGAGAAAAATTACCTGTCAGCTATGTATTTTTTTTCTTTTTTCCTTGGGGGCAGATCAGGTGCCATTGATACGTTCAAAATGTGGGATAAAATTTCTTTGATAAATAGCTAAGAGTCACCATAAATAAAAATGTTAACCAGAATTCAAAACTATAACTAGTTATGCATATTCACTTAAACATTTAAGAACACCAAGAAGACATTAACTTATGCTTTTCTCTATGAAATGGTTTGGTTTCTGTCACGTTTCTCCTAGCCTTTGCTATGTGGGAAAATTGTAATATTTCTTAGAGAATGTCAATGTCTAGTGATAGGTCTAACTCATGGCACAATGTCCAGATGTGTATTCTGGAAAAGATGGAATTTTCAAGTTTCAGTTCCATTGAGTCAGATTCCAGTTTTTTATATATAAATATATAAAGTTTCTAGCTGAACATAAATGTGACTATAAATGTTATACAGCTGATTTTTTTCTGTTTTTCTAAGCAAAATACGAGGACATCCAAGTATTGCTCCCTGAGTAATGGTTCCCTTAAGAGGATTAAACATTTAGTTCCATGTTATGGTTCTCATTAAAAATATTTTTATAGCACCTTTTTTGGAACTATATTCCCACTTCAAGGTGTTTTTAACATTTGGAAATAGTGTAAGCCATTTAGAATCATGATTGGTGGTTTTAGGCTAAAGTTGGATTTAGGCTAAAATACCAAGGATACAGCACTGTTTGTAACGTAAATTCGCTCTCAGCTGGTTCCGACTGCTTTTAACAATGATAGCTCTCCTGGAACAGGTGTTCCCACGTCCTTTAAGGACGGTATTGGATTTGGATACTTAAGGTATGGTTGGTCGTTGCTTTTGTTTCATTACACAATCATGACTTTATAGTCACATGTTGTACATATTAGATAGGCAAGTTGTATTCGGACTTGTAAATATAACTTTCAAGTAGTTAATCATAAAAAAGCTCATATATTTGCATGTTCTCGGTAAGCTTCCTTCATGCTGGTTATTGCACTGAACAATGTTATTATTATGGCATATTAACAGTATACCAGTAACAGCACTTTATCTCATTTATATGAACACCTTTGAGGTGCTACTAAGTCCAAACTGATGTATTATTCCTTTGTAAAGATAAGGTACAGGAATGAACCTTGGTTTAAAGGTATTTTTATACGAAAATGGTGTGCTATTGGAGGATGTGAAAATGCTAAATTGAGAGAGGTGGGAGTATAGTTGTTTTATATGTTGGGATGTGAAATTTATTTTCTAGAATTGGGGAGAAGGAAGTTCTATATTTACAGAATGTTTTAAAAATGAATAGTTGTCTTGAAGTTCTTGTGAGCATCATTATGGTTTTGTATGAGTAGGAGGTCTTCTTGTCATTCTTCAACATTTGTTCCTGAGTGTGTAAGCGTACTTTGTACAGCTCTCTCATTTTTATAGGCTTTCCATGAGTTCTGCTATAATTACTATGGCTTATTTATTGTTCATTGTCTTCTTTAATATTTGTGAAAGTCTTACTCTTTCTTTATGTAGTTTTGTTTCTGCACAACTACTGTACTTTTCCATATGGAATAAAGAGTATTAATAGAATCTGTTTTGTAGTAAATAAAACAATGGGTAAGTAGAGACTGCTGTGATGACAACGATCTGCTTCGGTTTAACCCTGGGTGATCTTATTGCCTTAAAGGAAACAGTGAAAAGCCTATTTTTATAGTAATACTACCAGATGCATAATTTCATTGAATAATAATTTCAGAAAAAGTGAAGCTTCAAGACATCCCAGAACGTTCATGGTTAACATTAGTCCTTTTGCCTGCAGTAGGAGGAAGAGCATTCTGTACTTCATGTTCCAAAAATCTTGGTGTCTGTTTTTACTGGCAACAGAAGCCCTTTCATACTGTAACTCTCACTTTGGCAATACACCGAACACTGTGTTGATGATATAATCTTTCAGTTAAAAGGATTCATTTGTCTTTATACCCACACAGTTCTGTCTCCGAGCAGTGGGAATGAAAGTGAACATCAAACTGGGTTGTGTTGTGATAAAACCCTGATGGGGAGTCTTAAGCCAGGGTGTCCCCTAGGACTCCTTCAGGTTCCCGTCTGGGTATGGCTATTGTTAGCAAGGCTGAAGAAAGTGTTTGCAGACCTTCTTTAAAGCTGTATATTAAACTTAGAGGTTAAAAACAAAACAAAACAAAGATGGGAGGGATAAGTTTTTAGCTCATAGATGATTGTTAGATGACTCTGGCTATGAAGCTACCAGTGGGACTACTGGAATGTATTATAAACTACATTAGGATTTAGATATCGTCTTGGTAAAGATATTTGGTCCAGTTACCCCAGAAAGGAGTGATGTCATCTTGGGAAGCCACTAGTCAGTCCTGGGCCAGGGCTGCGGGCAGGTAAGCACTGCTCCCGTGTTGTCCTCAGTGAAGGGCTCAGCCTGGGGAGGACAGCGGAGGGGCCTTGGGGGGACCCTTCCTCTGGCTGGTTTTGGATTTGGTTTGTTTGCTTGTGTGTCTGGGTGGGGGGCAAGGAGGAGGAGTTGTCTGGCTATGGACTTATTTGCATTCATAAACAGAAGCACTTCATTTTAGTAAAAATTATTGGCATCTTAGTTTTCAACCATTTTGTTTAATAAGAAACTATGATGGTGAAATGTAGAAGAGAAAATCACCTTCTTTGACACATTTAAAAGATAACCAGTCTTTTGTCTTTGTTTTCTATCAATTATGTCAATGATTTTTAGTAATTTTTATGTAAAAAACCAGTCCGCCCTTCGGAAAATAAGTCTGTCAATCAAAACAAAAGATATTTGGCCCAATGGTGGGCTGTCACTTAAAAAAAAATCTTTTGTTAAAATTATGTTAACATACTTCCTCTAAAGAATACAGTAGAAAAACACCTAAAACCTGTTCCCAACCTTTTTTTTTTTTTTTCGGTTCTCACTTGAATGTAAGAAGCATGGGTGGCATGAAAAAGAAAATCCTCTTGTGGGATCAGACTGTAAATCCCAGCTAGGACACAAAGGAAATAAAATTTAGTAATCCATTAGGGAGGATGGAAGTTCTACAAAGCAGCAATTATAAAGATAAGCTATTTGCAGATTTTTGTGGTAGCTAGGCTTTCCACAATTCTGTGAACACAGAGCGTATTAGATGTACTTTTCTAAAATATAGAAAAAGACTATATACATAGTTACATCACTTTTCCTCTCTCATTTCTGAGTGAATTTTTGACCAGCTAAAAAGAGGGTTTTGGGGGGTAAGCACAGGGTCTTGGGCCCTGCCTGGTCTTATGGCTGGGTTCTAATGTGCCTTCCATTCTGGGACACAGCTTAGGACAGGTAGGGAAAGTCACTACCACCTCAACTTTGTGAACTTGATGTTTTCTGCTGAGGGAACTCTTATCAGGGTGTTGTGTTAAACACCAGTCTCTTCTGTAAAAGTGTATCGTTACCCTAGTTTAAAATGTTCCATGATAGCTTGAATTCTAAACTCTAAAAGGAGGCTGGTTTGCTACTATATTTCAACAAGGCATGACATATTCATGTAATTTACACCATCTAACTTCTACACAGGTTTGGACTGTGGGGAAAAATCATTACCACCTTGCAAACGTAGAATCCAACGGAAATGCTCATTAAACATTTCAAAATGACTTTCTCAATTTAGTCATAAAACTGCAACTGTTTTGCTATAAATTCTCTTTAAAAGGATTCCAAAGAGTTATCAAATTAATGGCTATTAACTAGGATTTCAATGTTGTGTTCTAGATTATTCTGATCTGTAGATGTGATGAGAACATGATCTATATCTAGCAAGAATAAATTTGAGCACTGCAATTTTAAGGCAGAGTGAAACTTTATTTTCCTACAGGTTAAGATTTCTTTCACTAATACAAAAAGGCTTTTATAGTAAAAATAAGAAGATATGTTATTTAGTTCATACGATTTAAAGAAAAGGTTTTGATAGGTAACTAAATTCACTCTCTTCCTGTTTTGCTTTTAATAATATCTGATTAGTATCTACCTTTCAATCATTCAAACGAGATCACTGAAGAATATAAACAGGATAAATGATTTTATTTCTGCTGTGTCTCTAGCCACCGGCTGATGGCCATTTTCAAAGTCCTGTTTGGTGTCAGTGCCACTGAAGGAAGAACAAGATTCGTCATGGGACTTGTACGTTTCTTTTTGCTGATCCAATTTTCCATTGCTTCCTTTTCATATGAATAGCCATCTAAAAAAAAAAACCCACACAGATTATTTGCAGTATAGGAAAGGGAGGTTCAGATCAGCAGAAAGGGGTTGAATATACCGACTTCAGCTGCCAAGGCCGTTATTGTGATTTAAGTGGTAATCTTGTATCACTCCTCCTCAAATACTTTTGCCGCCACACCTTAAATTCTGCCCTAGAAGATGCATCGAGATTGCACAAATTACCTGCAACAGTGTCAGTATTTTACTGATAATTTTGAACATAAAAACTACAGCTAAATTCTGTGTCCAAAATTTAGGTGTAGCAGAAAAGAAAGGAAAAGAGCCAGGCAGAGGAGAGCGGTTGTGAAGACAAACTGCCTTAGAGCTGTCAGCTGTGTGTGAAAAGTAAGCTCGCTAATGAGAAGAGCCTTAGGAATACCTCAGCCAAACTTTCTGACATACTGAAAACTCAGGGAAATGGATACCAAGAGATTATAGAACTTATCCCACTAAGGACATGATAATAAAGAGATAGATGATTTTTTAAAAAAATGCCAAGGGCTGAGGTTTGTTATACACGTTTGTGCAAAAATCTTTGCCTCTGCACATATAAAGATGAGTTTTTGCTTTATTTTTTTACTCTTAGCTCTTTCTCTTTAAACTGAAAAATCTTAGTTCCTGGTTACATTTGCACATTTATTTGCTTTAGTTTACAAGCATACAAG